AAGGTAAGGGGCTGGGGAGTGCATTATGCCAATGAAGGGAGATGTAGAAACGTGTGTGTTTTATCAGAAGCATAGTCTCAAATCAACTCAACTCGGCAGCGCACACAGATAATGTGAAGTTCTCATCCGTTAAGTGAACACACACTCACACACACACACACACACAGCTGCAGATATTATAGGGTGATGATGAATAACAGACAAGGGGCCTTACACATGTCTGATGGCTGTGACGTTTTTCTTCACTCCTCTGAGCACTTATTCTTCCCTGCCTCCTTCTCTCTGTTTGACCTTTCTGCTCCGAGGGAGCACGTTGTCTCCTGACACACTATCGTCTGCACACTCGATCTGAATGAGCGATACTTCATGTAATGGATTTCACGTGTGGGGGCCCAGAGTTTATCAAGTCATGAATATGACCCATTATTTGCCTCATGTGTTTAGGCCAGTAACACTGTGGAGGTGAACATCGAGACGGCGGAGAGGCTGCAGGTCAGCAGGCTGGACTTCATGGCGTCGCTGGAAAATGACATCAAACCTGTAAGTTTCTCTACATTTTTTGTTTTGTTAAAATATGAATCTTAATATGAAAACAATGTCCCTTTATTAGAGCAAGTTCAAAGATAATAAGCTCCAACTTTTCCTCATTTCTACTGTCCTACACCAACTTTTTGAAAATATCAAACACACAAAAATCATAAAAAAGAGATTACATACACAGCATGTATATATTCATAAAGTAGGTTAGTTAGTAAGTTAGAAGTTTGTGTTTACCAGGGTGACAGGTTTCCATCACTGTCAATCACAGAACGGGGCATTAAACAAAATAAACCAGAACAAATGACATAAACAATATATCTTCCTCTCCTCCAGGCGTTCGGTACCAACCAGGAGGACTATGCCAGCTACATCATGAACGGTATCATCCGCTGGGGTGACCCGGTGTCGGCGGTGTTGGAAGACGGGGAGCTGCTCGTACAGCAAACGAAAAACAGCGACCGCACGCCCCTTGTCTCCGTGCTCCTGGAAGGTAGAACGCATGAACATGAGCACACAATTCCCAGTGAATGTTCAGCAATTTAACGCAAAAGATATGAACTGCGGTTTTATTTGTGATCGCTCACCTCCATCAGGTCCACCTAACAGCGGTAAAACGGCGCTGGCAGCTAAGATTTCTGAAGAATCCCAGTTCCCCTTTATCAAGATTTGCTCCCCCGACAAGATGATCGGACACTCCGAGATCGCCAAATGCCAAGCCATCAAAAAGGTGACACTCAACACCTGTAACAAAGGTTTAGAAAAGTTCAGGGGTTGTTTCCAAAAGGGGGAGTCGTGAAAAAGGCCACTCCTCGCTGCTTTCTGGCCCGACTGCATTAATATGACGCACATGGATGAATACTCAGTTAACCTTTTATTTTTTTTGTCTGTGATAGATATTTGAAGATGCCTACAAATCCCAGCTGAGCTGTGTGGTTGTGGACGACATTGAACGCTTGTTGGGTAAGTGTATAAACACATTTCATGTAATCTAAAGTCTTGTTTCTGTCCTGATGGAAAGGAATGATTTATCGATGTCTGTGTCATCAGACTATGTCCCAATCGGTCCTCGTTTCTCCAACCTGGTGTTACAAGCTCTGCTGGTGCTGCTGAAGAAACCTCCTCCAAAGGTAATAAACTCTTATTTTCTACTCTCTGTGGCGCTGCTAGTCCTCAGGTGGCAGAAAGAGGGCAGCAGATCATGTGGATGCCAACGCAGAGTCCTGTGAGGAATTGTTGGAGGTCTCCGGCTGCGACTGGCATGTGTGAGCGACTGTGTGTGAGTGTACGGTTATTAGCCAGTGTTTTGGTCCAGGCCCGTTGTGCTCCGAGTGAATGGTGGTGGTAGAGACCCATTTCTCATAGTCTCTTTGGTTGTAGCTTGTGTGTGTCTGTTGTTGATGGGTTTGTGAATGAGAGTATAGCTCACTATATGGCTGCATGTGCATGAGAAGTGGCGCGGGGCCTGGTGTTGAATGCCTGGCTGCAGTGCTCCTCTGGGGTTGTAAAGCGCTGGGCCCAGCGGGGTGCCTGGGGCCAGGGGAGGCCAGGGGGACACGGAGGAGAATGGGCTCTGTGAGAGAGCCAGGACCTGGCAGCACCACCGCCTGTGTGGCACCTCATCTGCATGCAGCATCACAACCCCCCACGCCATGGGGGGGCAGCCAGCAGCCATAATCCCCCTGTCTTCTCGCCACTCCTCTGCCTCTCCTCCTCCGTCGTCGTCTTCTCCTGGTCCAGCTCATCGGCTTAGTGGAGCCAGAATTCTTTTGCTTCTCCTCTTTCTTCTCTGCTCGTATTTGTCTTCTCTTCTGTTGTTGTCTTTTCTCCCCTGATTCCGTCTCTTTCCTCTCTCTCTTCCCTTCTTTTCTTCGTGATGTGCTTCACCGTGGCTGAGATAGATACAGAGAATCCACAATCGGTGCATTCTATCATATTGCACCCTCACCTTTGCAATAACTGTGTGATGGCAACACACAAGGTTGTGTGAAGAACTTTTTAAACTAGTCTATGAGCGACGATGAAACTGACACCACTGGACGGTGAAGAAAGTCTCTCCAGGACTGTTCTCACCTGGTAAACCATCTTGTTTTAAACTCCTCCCTTGTTTTAATGGTTGAAAAGTATTAAAACAACAAGGTGCAGTTCTGTCCGCCTCCTCGTTGCCACAGGGTATTTGAAGTGTTTGTGATATATGGTTGTTTCATGGAGCTACCACCATTTCTTTTATTGTCATTCTGGTTCTTTATTCTCTTGAAGCCATTTTCCCACTTGTAGGTCTTCAGTGTAGTTCTGTTGAACTCCAGGTTTCTTTCTTTTATGATTTGATGTGAAGATTTGATGCTTCTCTCCTCCGTTCTTTCATGTGTACTTTCTTTCTTCCCTGTATCATACAGATAAAATGTTTGAATCACACAACCAACTAGACTCTCCTTTTGTCTGGAGTCATGATTGGAGGACAGTGTTCTTTGTTTGCATTGTAATGTTGTTTGTAAGAAGTTGTTCTCTTGTTTGAGTCGTGTCTTTCTCCCTTGCAACATGTCAGTCCATGACGGTAAACAACAGAACTCTGCTGGCATAGAAACCAGTTCACGTTGACCCTTGAGGAAAGAACAGCTGAAGAATATGAATGAATGAATAAATTAATAAATGTATGAATGAATCTGCTTCTCTTTCAGGGCCGTAAGCTGCTGATCATTGGCACCACGAGTCGTAAAGACGTCCTCCAGGAAATGGAGATGTTAGATGCCTTCAGCACCACCATCCACATTCCCAACATCTCGAGTGGAGAGCAGCTGGTCGAGGCCCTGGAGGTAACAAGACAAATTGTTCACACACCAAAACAGAAGCAGGCACAAAACACACTGACACGTGCTCATGCTAAATACTTGTTCAGACCAGTTTTCAATGCTTTTTAATTTACAATTTCTAAATCGCATTTCTCAATTCAATTCTCTCTTTGCCCTCTCGACTCAGCTGCTGGGCAGTTTCCAGGAGAAGGAGCGGGCCATCATAGCGAAAGCTGTGATGTACCACAGTCTGTGGATCGGCATTAAAAAGCTGCTCATGCTGATTGAAATGTCCGTGCAGGTGAGAAAGAGACACTTTCTTTGCATTTCTATGTTTCATCTGTGTTTCCTCTGATGGTAATTGTTGTCCTGCTCGTCCGCAACTTTCACTCAAAATGAAACGTTATTAAAAAGCAGATTGTGCTGCTAATATGCTAAATTTAGATGGTGAACATGGTGTATATTATTGTAATATATTAGCATGTTAGCTCAGAGCGCTGTGCGTCTGTAAAATAATCACATTTACAGGCTCTAAGATGTTTTCATGATAAATCGAATGTGGTTTCCGATGATAGAAAGTCAAAGTGACACGGGTGTATGTGAAATGTGAAAAGCAAGGCTCACTCATCACTTCACTTTCTTTCTTTTTTTCCATTTTGAACACAACTTCCAAATTGGCTCAGCCCGTGTTATTGTTTTTCTAATAGTGTGGTCTGAGCTCGGGAGGCCCGTCCCTCCTCTTCCTCTACATCTCGCCATCAATCTCAGCAGTCAACAGAATCTGTCTCTCGGGCACCGAACGCTGTCGTAGATCGACGGGAATGAAAAACTGTGCGGCTTTGCTGTTGATTTGTTGTGTCCAACACTCTTATAGTTATGAACCCACGTTTTCTACATAGTATTCCAAATGACGTTAATGTGTTCTGAATCACACTTCCTGGTTTCAGCTTACTCACAATTTACATCAGTCATCCAATGGGCCAACAGATGAGACAGGCGAAAGAAAATCCATCTGAGTATGGAAACAAAAGTGAAAACATAGGATACCAACTCATAACAGATTCTTGGCTTCTTTTCAATGGACCCGGACTACGTATAGAAATAAGTACAGTTGGTTCATTCACTTTTTTAAAGTGGCCTTTCTGGGTTTTGTGGTTTGGCAGATTAAATATATATTTCAGTGCATTTTTCACAATTGAAATTTCTGTTTGTGCCCAAATTAAATGAAGCCCTTGAATCCTTCAGAATTAAAAGGTGTTTATAGAGACAAATAGATTAGAGGTATAATATGAAACAACTCTTGTTTAAAATGTCTGAACGTTTCTAGACATATTTATTATGTTTGCTGACTCGTGTACGTACATTATCCAAAATCTCTCCTACAATGTTTAACCCCAGAGAAACACTTTAATCCAAACAGGAAGTTTGATTTCACCTTTTAATTGCGTCATATCCACTTTCCTCGCCTACAAAACACTGATTCAACAAACTGGTGACAAGAAGTCGACCAAAGTTTCTCTTTAAGACCAAGACTGTACAGTGCAGAAGGAAAATGGACGAGATTTTGTGTCTTTGGAATCGAGATGGATTGTTTTTCGTTTTCTCATGCAAAGATATTGTTGGTTTTGGTTTGTTAATAATAATTTTTGGCCTGAAGCTGCAGTCGTATCAATCTTCACCTGGTGAAATTGACTGGCATTGTGGCCAGAAGCACAGCGGGCAGGAAATGGCATGGGTAGACATGTAAATATAAAATCATGGTGAGTGTTGCTACGAGGCCAAACAGTCCACAAAATTGCAAATGGTCACAAACATCTGTCACTGTCCTGCAGCCGAAACAGAATCATTTCTCTTCTGCTGCTTGTATTTCACCGTACAAGTATATTAAGAAACCGTGTCTCCTAAAGAAGAGGTCTGTCCCACCTCATCTGTCAAACTGTCGAGGTTTGCAGTTTTCACATTCGATCAGATTGAGGTCTGCGTGAGGTAAAATCCATCCTGTCCAGAAAGTGGGATTAATGTGTGCGGAGGCTTGGTCACATAGCGGAGCCACGTGAGCTAAGGGCTAACATGCTAGTAATGAGTCACCCTGTCCCAAAAGTGAAGCCAATACGTGAGTTCCTGAAACACACATTCTCTCAAACGGCCAGAAGATGGCGACTCCACTGAAAAGAACTTTCTCAACAGTACGAATTGAGGAGTTCACCAAAGTTGAGTTTGAACTCGAGCTGAATTTGCTTCGTGCTCGTGAATGAATCCACCGATCACAGTGATTCCACTGAAATGAACTGAGGCGGATTCAAAATTTTATGGTCTTAGTTGTGACCAGGTCTTTAGTTTTAGATTTTCCTCTGTGATGTCGTAAAAATTCTGTCTGCGAGTAGTGGAAACCGCTCTACTGTGGTTTGGCGTCTTAAAGGTTTTAAAAACATCCTGGCTCATGTTTCATTGTCTCCAAACTACACGTCCCTGCGAAAACACGCCACTGCGATGTTTAAAGTCTTTTTCCGGCGTGAGCGGGACCTCAACATCAGGGGAGCTCCGTCTTTGTTGCATCGATTGTTTTTAGTCTGTTTCTTCAGAACCCCCTCAATGTCGTGGAAACTTAAATGAATCTCATCTGAGGCCTGAGCGTAACGAACTTCCGACTGTTCCGTCGGAGCGGACGTTTCTCATTCGCTCCTCCCATCGCGGGATCTTTCTGTTTTGAAGCCCACGGTGGCGACTCCATGTGAAAACTCGGCTCCATCAGCTTCCACATCGTGTTCGGTTACTTGACAAAACAAGTCGCTGACTCTGCGGCAGGCAGCTGCAGAACCTAAATCTCACTCATTGCCTGGTGTTAATTTCTCCTCCTGACTGTGTCTGTGGTATGTTGATGATGTGTGCGGCCTGTTCGTTGGGCCTGGATGCTTTGTAATTGCTGTGGTATGCACAAATGTGGCCATGTTTTGCAACCTGCAGCCCCCACTCTCTCTCTCTCTCTCTCTCTCTCTCACACACACACACCCACACACCATCCCAAGCCCAAAGAAGTATGAAGTATGTGTTTGCCGAGACATGCTGCAAACAGCCGCGCAACTCCGCGCACACACATCCACAGTTAGTCTTGTTTTCTCTCTGTCGTCTCTCCTCTCATTCCGATGTCTCCTCTCTGCTCTCACATCTTAGTTCTAGTAGCTACAGGCGCTTCCAGACGTTCTGTAAGTCATTGCACAGGTTGCCATTAATTTGACTTCCTCCTCCTTCTCCTCCTGTTTGTTCAAACTGAATCACAGACTCTTAAGACCCGCAGCTCTCTCAATGTGCTCTGACGTCTCAGCACCGTGTTCCTCGATAGTCGGTTAAACCAACGATTGTCCCAAAAGAAAATAAGACCTGTTGGGAAATGTGAGGTTATTTTCCCGTGTTTGTACTGAGAGGTGATGTGTTTGTCTTTTAGATGGATCCCGAGTACAGAGTAAGCAAGTTCCTGAGCCTGTTGAAGGATGAAGGAGCGTGAGTGTTGTTTTTATTTTTCTCTTTGTTTCTAACCCGATGAGATCAGCGGTGACACTGAACGCACCGTGTGGACCTCTGACACGTGTGTAGCAAAGAAATGAAAAACCGTTTTCAGACACGATTTTAAAACGTGCGTCCGTCACGTTTTAAAATCGTTATCAACGCGGCCTCTCTCATCCTCCAGACATTTCCCTGCTCTGTTCTCACGTGGACTCATGGGACAGTTCCCTGGCTTTTATTTAAGGAGCTGGCAGGAAATGTTTCAGAAAATGTCCGGAGCGATTGATTCTCACATGAAGCCCCTCTTGAGCATTCCAGGAAAATGTCCACAGTTCACTGCACGTCTGAAAGAAACTAACCTGTTGATTTTTGACTGATGAATAACGCACATTTTTTATTTTGTTCTTTTTCCTGCAGACTCCGTTCTGATAAGTTTGTTGCAAAGTGAACTCAGTGGATCCACAGTGAAAACGAAGCGTCCCTCAGTGGTAAGACCTGCACCAGGCTGCTCCGTCACATTTACCACTCACAGTTCCCCGGTTTAATTCAAATGTGTTTAGAATACAAACTGGAATTACCCAGACTTTGTGTTGTACTGTGAGACTAATTACCTAATGACTAATTGAATGACTAACCTGATTTACTTTAGTTTGAATAAACATGTAATTATTGTCCATGTGGTTAAGAGATTCTGAATCTCTGCTTGAGGACATTGTCTCTGACTGAAGATTCCTGCTGTAGGACGTAGTGTGTGGAGTCACAGTGAGCACAGAAAGTTTTAACCACACATCTGTGGCGGTGTCCACGGGGGGATTTTTCTATATGTCATTAGTTCTGTTCTTAAAGTTGCTATGAGACAGTTGTTTCCCGTCACGCCCTCAGAGACGTATGGTATAGTTGTACCTAAAAATAGGTCGGCGAGGCAGGTTCTCTCTTGTGGCAGCCCGTCTCCTTTGCCTGCCCGTCTCTTCTCACTTTTATTTGTCTCTCTTCACTCAGTTGCTGAGGAACGGAAGCCCGAGAGAGGCTGGCAGGAGGAAGCGAGCGAGGGCTTGACTCCCTCCTTCCTTCCTTCCTTCCTTCCCTCCCTCCCTTCTTCCCATCCCCGAAGCTCTGAGCACTTCTCTCTCTCTCTCTGCGCTGCAGCTTTCTGCAGCGGCAAATGACCGGGCGACCTCCTGTGATGATGTAAAATAAGAAAAATAAGTGGTGTTGGTTGCCTCTGTATATATTGTACTTCCCAAAGACTGTGCTGTGATGACTCCATTTTGATTTTATATATAAAAGAGTGAAGGCAAAAGAGGAGAAGCGGATATGCAAAAACACTAATGATAATACTGTTTATATAGGCTCTGTTCATTTGTATGCACAGACTTGTGATCTGATCATTCCGCAATATTGCTAATGTTTGCTGACGTTTATATTTTATGAATAAATTAATTCTGATACTAACAAGAAACTCAGCGGTTTCTGGAAATCAAATGATTAAACTTTCTAAAGGGAAGTTGCCTCAGAGCAGAGGATCGTGCTGCTCGAAAGAAGTTGCAAATATTTGGTGTAACATCCACAAGAGAAGCCTCTTGAATTTAACCAATCAGACAAATGTGTTGTGTCAGTGTCAGTTGCTCCTCCATCAAATGAAAATTGTGTTGTTACAGCGTGTGGTCGTCTTCTTTATATCTACATGAAATAAAAACGATGGATTGTTAATCGTTGGATTTGTGCCTTTTGGTAATTATGATGTCATTGCGTCCCCTCATCTCATTTCACATAATAACTCTTAAGAACTACTTTTTTTACATCTTCAATAATATTCCCTGTTAAAGGAGAGTTTAGAGTTTGTGTGCGTTTGTCTTTTAACACGGATCCTGTCAGGACCGGTAGACCTCATGGGGACCAAAGCTTTGGTCCTAATGAGGCTAAACTTGGTTAAGATAAAGATTAGGGGGAAGATGTGAATTGTGTTTAGGGTTTGGGATAATAAACTCAATGAATTGAAGTCAATGCTAATAACAACAGCTGTGCAAACCTCTGTGTGTTCTCATGGTTAAAATCTCCGAGAGGATGTAGATGCTTCTTTGTTGGACAATAAAAAATATATATAATACAATTTATAACTTGTTCTTTATATTCTCAATTTCTAAATAGAAGAGAAATTCTGTGTGTGTGTGTGTGTGTGTGTGGAAAAAAAAAAGCACAGATAGACGGTTTTGTTCTTCAAATATATAATCTTAGCTCAGTCATACAGATATATACATTGTATAATAAATAATATTTATAAAAACATAACATTTACGATTATAAAATAAAAAGGGAATTATTCACTTTAAAACATTTGTACAAAACTTTGGATATAGCGGGGGTGGGGGGGGGGCACGTATAGGGGGGAGTGGGAGGGAGGGAGGGAGCACAGAGAGGTGGAGGGCTGCGTCGAAGATGACGCTAATGCTAAGCTATGTCACAAAGAGAGGACGGCCTGTACACACACACACACACACACACACGACTGGGTAACTTGTGTTTTCGTTGTTGAATATAATTAATAGGAAGCAGGTGGGACTGTCAGAACATGTTGTATGGAAACCTCAGAGTTTGTTCCACCATTGTGAAGAGCCAGCCTGTCCCTCCCTCCCTCCCTCCATCCATCCATCCCTCCATCCATCCATCCACACACACACATCCACATCTTGTATAACCGTCTTCAGCTTAACTGTTTTCAGAATCAGAAGTTGAGATTACTTTTTTTTTTTTTTCTGTGCGCCAAATATCACAACAATTTTCCTCAAGCGTTTTAAAAACCATTTCCTCTTGTTAAAAAAAAAGGCCGGGCCGACGTCCATGCCTCTGAAAATAACAAATCACTCTGAGGAAATTGCTCTGTATTGTTCTTCCAGTTTCTCCAAAACCAAAACAGCGAGGCCGAGGGTGTTTTTGTGGGGGTGCGCTGACAAGAATACAAGTTCATAAATCAGGCTTCTTAAGAACCTCAGATGTCTCGCTGAGGGGGGGGAAATATGGAAGGAATGAAGGAAGGAAGGACGTGACAGCCAATCAGAACCCCGTCTGTACTCTGGTGTGCACATGTCATCACATGTCCCCCCTTTTTTTTTTTTTTTTTTTTTTACCGTGATAAAAGATTTGCCTAAAGTCTCAAAGTCGACCTTGATGATTGCACGAGCCTCAAAATAAAAAGATCTTTCCTCGTAAGCGTGACTCAAATTCAGCCGTGAACCAACCATTTGCTCGCTCGCACAATTCGAACGCTGTGTTTTCTTATTTGTTTTCGCCACAATGCCACCGCCACCCGACTAATGTGATGTTGCATCACGCTTGTGGAAATAACGATTTACAGGTCGATCGTGACCCGGGCCAGGAACAAAGTCGTTATTAGTGAAAACTTTTCTCACTAAAACAATGCTCAGATGTTTCCGAACTGGAGTGATGTGGAACTGAATAGTGCATATACATGTGAAGGGTTGCTGTGGATATAGTATGTGGATCACACACACACACTCACACACACACACACTCCCTCCTGCATACCTCCCCTCCCAGCCCATTGGTAATATTTCAGAAATGCAGGGATATAAAATCAGGCTGTAGCATATATCTCTTCCAGGCTTCCCCCAGGTTGACTGGTGCAGAAGCGCTGGTCAGCAGGGAGGAGCAACACTGAGGATTTCATCTGCTCAGTAGTTTACGAAACACAGGACGGTGGCACCTCCGCTGCCCGCCTGCCGCTCGTAGTTCAATCAGTAGTCACAAAGTGATGGTTTCCTGGGGCTGCCGACGTGCTCGATATCACTCATGACGAAGTGACGGTTTAGAGGTTGGTTTAGTTTAAAGAAAATAAAATTAAAATAAAGGTAAACCGGCCAGACAGGCCGGGGGAGTGAGGTGTTAGTTAGAAAATGCTTTTTTTTTATTTAAAAGCAAAGAGAGTCTGAAAGTTTCTTTTCTTTTTTTTCTTTTTTTTTTACTGCATTAATCTCACAGGTACAAAGTGTTACTGTACATGCCACAAGCATCGTGTGGGCATGGAGGGGGGAAATAAATAAAGACGAGGGGGTAAGGGAGGGGGGCCGGGGGGGGTCGTGGCCTCAATGCTGCAGGGAAGAGGGGATCATGGGAAAAGTGGCGTATCTCTATGTTCTTCCAATGAAGGCGCTCAGGTCAGCACTTCCTGGTCGGATGTTGTGGGTGTAGTGGTTCGAAAGACGGATTCTAGTGCAGGTGTTTTTTTGTGCCTTGTCTATGCTTCCGCGGGTATTTTGTCGGAACGCATGTTTTCCCCTCTGGTATAAAAAGAATCTCCGTCCACATCAGCCTCGTTTTAGAAAACATCTCAGAACACCAAACTACAAACGCTCAAACAAACATGTTGGGCCAGTAGGGGGCGACATCGACAGTCCATCCAATACCGGAGGAGAACTTTGTTAGCATGACCAAAAGCATCATCATCACCAAAGTTTAACCCCGCACGATGTTTCTGTGTTTGCTGCTTTTTGCAGCAAATGTGTCGTCAAATGGATGAAGTTGTTTTCTTAATTTGCATTTGAGCTGATTGCAAAATATATCCACGTTAGTGTGGACGGGGTTTCAAGGTGTAGAAGTTGAGTGTGTTTCTGTCTGCGTGTCTGGAGAAGCTGTGAAGTCGTGGGGCGTTGAGGTCGGGAGGGTGGGCAGCACTTGAAGTCCAGCAGTCCGTTGGCCTGAGGCCTCCTCTCACTTGCACGTGTGCACGTCATAGACACGCACGCACTCCTGACAGCTGACGTAGCAGCACCAGTGGAAGATGCAGTGACACTTCTCTTTGCGTTTCTCAGTCCGGGTGTTGTGGCCACGGCCGCAGCACAGCAGGTCGCAGCCCTCGATGCCGTGCGACGACACGTTGCAGACCCGGTCGTGCGTCCCGAAGGAGCCCGTCTCCGTGTTGGGCTCGCAGAAGTTGGGCGAGCCCTCGTAGTAGACCAGGTCGCGCTCGGTGGGATGCTTGAAGAAGGTGTACTTGACCCGCAGTGTGTCCACCCAGCCTCGCGACTCCCGGTGCTTCTCCACCACCATCTCCGAGGCGCTGTCGTACTTGTCTTTCAGGTAGTCGCCGAGCATGCGGAAGTCTGGCTGCGCCCACCAACACGTCTTCACCTCGCAGCTTCCTGACAGGCCGTGACATTTGCAGCGCAGGTGCATGTGGTCGAGGATGGTCTGAGAAACACAGAGGACACTTTTGAGTTCAACTTGTAGGAAGATTTCAACACCTCACACCTTGTGGGATAAATATACACCTGAAATTCTAGTCTTGGGATTTGTACGGTTTGTAAATTAGTGTTTTCACTCTCTAACGTTCATAAATCAGATCGTTGCTGTCCGTCGCTGCAGATCCTCTTTTCAGCCTCTGTCTGAAACACTTAATTTTAGCTCCTGTCTCTTTAAGGCCCCCCCCC